TTTTAGCGATGGAGGCATTGAGCAGATTACTGGATAGAGTGGTTCATAAAGGTTTGCTGGAGGGCTTCACAAGAGCATCTTGTAGACACCCCATTTTTGACTGTCCTCAACACTTGGATATGCTTGCAAGTACATCCGATGACAAGTTTGATTGCTCGTCGAGTACTCGAATTTCGCGGTGGAACGTCACAGGTTTGAGCTTTCCAAACCCTGTATCCTTTCTGCTCCATTTTTGGACCATGTGTTGGTCCTTTCAGCATGTTTCTTGTGGTACCCTGTCGGCCATGATCAAGGGCTGCCGGCCACGATGTATGCCCTGCTGACCATTGATGAGGCATGCCGGCCATCAATGAAGCACTGTCGGCCACCACTGATGGCCGGCAGATCACCATGTTTCAGTAGATATTTTGTTAGATATTTTGAGCCAGCTGTGGCTCACTCAGCCATCCTCCATACACGTGTATGGAGGGATGAAGGCAGGGTTTAAGCTTGTCAAGCAAGCTTGTGCTTACATTGCTTATATAAGGAGAGGCCCCTCTCCCTCTCCAAGGGTTCTGAAATTTGAGAGCTGAAAATATCTCTCTCTCTCTCTCTAGAATCCTCACTCTCTCTATATTGTGCTCAATAGTGCTTTAAGGTGTATTTTCTTCACACTTTTGCACACAAACACCTAGTCAAACACCTTCATTTTGGAGCTGAGGTCCCTTGGAGCTTGTTTTGAGGTCTTAGGACTGGTTTTAGCTCAGAGAAGTTGTTGTTTTTGTTGTTGTTCTTCAAGGGTCTTCAAGGGTAAGCATATACCCCTTTTAAGCTTTGTTTTGATTAATAGCTTAACCACCTTTGCATGCTACTTTAAGGCTGGTTTTAGCCTCTTAAAAAGTCTGATTTTAAGGCTTTAAAATGTGGGCTTGAGTCTTGTTTCGTTAGGGGATGTTTCCCCTCTTTTGCTCTATGGCTTGTAAAGCCTTTTGAGCAACCATTCTTAGCCTTTGTTGTGACCTTTGTTTGGCCTTTCTACCACTGAAACTCAGAGGAATTTCAGTGGTAGATAGTTGGTTTTAAGGCTCAAAATGAGAGGGGGTGGTCCCCTCTCTTTGTGTCTTGTTTGTATGCATAGAGGGCCTACCAAGTGAGCATGTATTTCTCCCTTTTTGAAGCTTAGTTTGAACATATTTTTGTGACTTTTTGGACCTGCTCTAGCTCTGTTTTTGGCTGGTTTGGCCACCTCTTTCTTGCTTTTTATACTTGTAGTACAATCATGCTTGTTAGCCTAACATGCTTCATGCTTTATGCCTTTCATCCTAGCTTGTGTTGGCTCTATCTCAACATGTTTTTGCCATTATTTTAGCATGCATTAGCTCTGTTTTGAATGGTCTTGCCCATATGAGGCTTGCCTTGTAGGGTTGTAGTGTAAGTGGCTTTGACTAGCTTTGAGTGTCAAGTCTCTAGCATGCTTTACTTGAGTTGTTTGCATGCCCTAATCTCATTTCTCACATGATTTCAATGTATATAGCATAGTCACACTCTCACATATTCCACTGTTTCATAGCTTTTGAGAGATGTGCCTTGCGCCTTGTTTGTGAGCCAATACAAATGCATGCTTGTCTAAGCTTTTGGGCTCCCTTTTCAGCATGTTTTGACCTTTGTTTTGACATGTTTGAGCTCTGTCCAGAGTTGGTTTGATGGTTTGGGCTATGTATTGCATGCCTCTTGTTGAATGCCTTAACTAGTTTTGAGTTTTAGGGCCTCTTGCATGCTATACTTGTGTTGCTTGAATGATATGGCATCATTTAACACATAATTTTAGAGCATATAGTCTTGTTATACTCTCATGTTTATCGCTCTTTCAATGTGTTTGAGAGTTAAGCTTTCTGCCTTGCTTGTGAGCCATGAGTTGAGTATGCATTCCTTGCTTTTTGTGCCTAAGTGTTAGTGTGTTTTGGCCACTGCTATGGAGTATCTTAGGTCTGTCCATAGCTGGTTTGACCATTTGAGATTAGTGGTGCATGTCTCATGTGTGATGTTCTTCACTTGCTTTAGTGCTCTTGGGTCCATAACATGTCTTGCATGCATTGCTTCCATGATAGAGTCTTGTGCATGCCACCTTAGCATTGATAGGTGAGCATGTTGCATTTTGCATTGCATTGTGTTCAACCGGACGTTATGTTGAACACAAGGTGGATTGGCCCACTTCATACTCAAAGTAATGAAAGTGAGCCAATCTCCTTTGCCTCTATTGCCTTTGACCTCTCATTACAAGGCCGTGGTCTTAATGTCTTGTTTGTTGTGTATTCATCGAATTTGTGCAATTTGGATCTTTGGCCATCAAGCATTGAGATGCTTGATTCATGGTCTTGGATCCAATGATGCCTCTCCATTGATGTTTTGAAGTGATATGGGGTGGCATAGTACACACATGCCTTAGGGAGACTCTTCATTTCCTCTGTTTTTGTGCTCTATTACAGAATGATGTCACAGCACACCAGTGGCCGGCAGTGCCACATAGATGGCCGACACCCTTCCATTGTTGGCCGACAGAATTGCCTTTGACCTCTCATTACAAGGCCGTGGTCTTAATGTCTTGTTTGTTGTGCATTCATCAAATTTGTGCAAGTTGGATCTTTGGCCATCAAGCATTGAGATGCTTGATTCATGGTCTTGGATCCAATGATGCCTCTCCATTGATGTTTTGAAGTGATATAGGGTGGCATAGTACACACATGCCTTAGGGAGACTCTCCATTTCCTCTGTTTTTGTGCTCTATTACAGAATGATGTCACAGCACACCAGTGGCCGGCAGTGCCACATAGATGGCCGACACCCTTCCATTGTTGGCCGACAGAGGACCACTCTTGGCCAGCAGGTGGCCGACAGTAGCCCCTCATGGCCGGCAGGCCACTGGTGCACTCCCCAACCTTGATTTGGTAAGATCCAGCAGCAAGTTCTCAAGGACACCCTACAAACAGAGCCTCAAGAGAGCAACCGGCGAGCTTTTCGGGGCAGAAACCGAGCATGTACCCTCTCCTTCTTCGAACAAAGCTGGAGCAGCTTAGTTTTATGCTTACTTGTTAGTTAGCATTGAATTTGTAATTAATTAATTAATTAATTAGGTAAGTGATGTAATAATTAGTAAGTAGATTGCTTATTATTCGATTTGATTGTGTAATAATTAGTCTAATTAGATTATTAGATTAGTTGCTAGCTTAGCTTAGATGTAGCTTAGCTTATTCTTTTGGACCCTCCGTCGAGAGGGCAAATGTTGTAATAAGCGTGCATGTGTGTATGCATGTCTTCCAACCCCACTTCTTTCTCCCTTTTATTTATCTACTTTCGGTGGTTAGATTGGGGCATATTTTGATTAGCATACCTTATGCTTTGCATGCGTGCATCATTCATTTGTCTTGCATACGCCAGGCTCGGCGCATCATTGAAACTGTATTATATTTCCAATAAACTTTCTTGAATACGTGTTCAAAGCATGTTATCAAGTGTTGCATTCATATGCCATCTTAGATAACCGAGCCTAATTAATTGCATCTCTGCATGTGTTGCATTAGGCATCTTAACATAGCTAGGATCATGCATTGATTTCTAACTAGTTTTCTATTTTGGCTCGGAGTACACTGTAAGTGTTTATGCTTTAACATCCTTGCATGTGTGTAAGTGACTGCCATGATAGCATGTTTGCCATGAGGGTATTTGCTTAATTGATAAACTGCATGAATGCCTGTAGGTGGAGGCTTGATTGCCTGAATTGGAACAATTCATCAAATGTGAGTTTTAAGCCCACTTTGTGAAGGGGAAAAATCATGTTTTAAAGCCCACTTGAGGTGGCAAATCCGCGCTTTAGCCTACTTGCGAGTAGCACTTTCAAACCATTTTCAAAAACAAACATGAGTTGTTTTGTTTCAATCCGCGTGATTGAGTCTATACTTGTTTGCTGTGCGCATCACGCAGTAAAGATTAGCTAATAATCAGAATAAGAACACATGTGTTTTCAAAAACAACATATCATGTTTAGTAGAGGCCGATCCTTTGATCGGGCGAGCGAGGTTGCTCATTTCATGACATTCCCCCCTCGTACCCAAGTTTCCGAGCCGAAGCACTTTGGTGATGACGAACACGTGGCCTTAGGCACGAGCCAAGGTTTCCTAAATTCCCCAAAATAAAATATTTAGGTGTCGACTCTGAAATCTGATAAAGCAGTCCATGTTTGGCGCTTTTTTATTCAAAATTGATTTTTCAAAACCAATGGTCGGATTTGAACTCTTTGGTGATTTATCAGTCTTACATTGCACTTTGTGAGATTAGATTCAGAACCGTGACAGGAGTCCGAATTATAGTAGCTAGAACCCAATTCGCACCCTCTCCGAAAGGGGGGCGCGCGGAACGAGTTCGGGCGGTCTACACATCTCTATGTGTTTCTCATTTGCTGTACGCAAATGATGCACTAATCTTTGTGGGGCAGTACCGGAATAAGTGGGTTTCTTGTGATGTGTTTTGCTGTGTTTCGAGATAGTTTCTGGCCTTCGAGTGAATTTGAGAAAATCCAAGCCAATTTCGGTGGGTAATATAGAGGGATTGCTCGTGTTAGCGGCGGCATTGGGCTGTAAGGTGTCAACTTTACCGGTGACTTATTTGGGTTTGCCGTTGGGAGCATCGTTTAAAGCTCAAAGGGTATGGGAAGGGGTTGTGGAGCGGATTCAACGTCATTTAGCAAGCTGGAAAAGGTAATATCTTTCAGCTGAGGGCCAACTAACTCTAATCAAGAGTGTGAGGTTGGTGGGGTTACCCATACATCTTCGCAGCGATTTGATGTACCGAGCTATTGGCAATTGATGTGGTGGTTTAATGTACGTCGACAAACTGTCAGGGGACCTTGGGGTGGTCTGATTGTGTGTCAGAGGCGACGGTCACATCCCGCCTAGGTTTTGGTGCGCCGACGGTAGAGGCTTATACGCCACCGAGAGGGACAATTGGTGGACTACACATGGAAAACGATGGGCGTGACTGGATGTGTGATCGTTGGAATGGGCGTAGATTTGGGGATATACCAAATTTTCAGAGATTTGGGGCTAGACCCTGTTAAGCATATGCGTATTAAGGGTAGTCTAGTCATTAGTAGCAATTAGGGTTAGCATAGTTGTCTTATATATATATATTTCTTGTAATTCTTTTTCATTCAATTGAATAATGCAATACTTAGTTCCTAACTAAGTTTTCATGGTATCAGAGCAAGGTTATGATAGCTAAACTCTCGTTGGTGTTTGTATGAACTGAAGGCAAGCATATGGTTGCTTCTCTTCGTTTGCCGCTATACACCCTTGCATTGAAGTCAAGTGGGCTTGTCTGTGCCTTACAAAGTCGCTATTTACAGTCGCGTTGGCGCCTTGCGAAGTCGAAGTCGAAGTCGAGTGGGCTTTTCTGTGCCTCATAAAGTCGCGATTCACAATCACGATTCACAGTTGCGATTCACAATCGAAGTCGTTTCTTCCTCACAACTCTCCCTCTCATCTCACAGTCGCGTTTGGTTCTTCTAATCGCAACTAATATATGCTCATTTAGTTTGAAGGTGTGATATTTGGGTTTTCGTACCGGTGATCATGACTCGGCTCTCTCTCTCTCTGCGCTCCACTTCTGCGAGGCTCATTATTCTTTTGTTATATATTGATGACATGGTGATCTCTGGCAACGATCTTGATGGTATCTCTGCTCTCAAGGCTCACTTGCATCATCATTTTGAGATGAAATATCTTGGTTCGCTTCGTTATTTTTTGGGCATTGAGGTGGCCTCTTCGTCTCGGGGTTATCTTCTGTCTTAGTCCAAGTATGTAGTTGATGTTATTCAGCAGGTCAAGTTGACCGACTCCCGCACTATTGACACTCCTCTCGAACTTAATGTGCACTATACTTCCACTGACAGTGTCCCTTTGCCTAATCCTACCTTATATCAGATTCTAGTGGGCAGCCTTGTCTATCTTAACATTACTCGGCCCAATATTGCCTATGTTGTTCATATTGTCAGTCAATTTGTTTCTACCCCGACTACTGTTCATTGGGCTGCTGTTCTTCTTATTTTGCGCTACCTTCGTGGGTCCTTGCATCAGAGTTTATTGTTCTCTGCTACTTCTTCTTTAGATCTTCATGCTTTTTCTGATGCTGATTGGGCTAGTGATGCTATGGACCGTAAGTCTGCTACGGGCTTTTGTGTTGTTCTGGGTAGTTCTCTTATTTCTTGGAAGAGCAAAAAGTAAACTGTTGTTTTCGATCGTCAACTGAGGCTGAGTATCGTGCTATGACTACTACCACTGTTGAAATTGTCTAGTTACGTTGGTTTCTTTCCGACTTTGGTGTCTCCGTCCCTAGTCCTACTCCCATGTATTGTGATAATACCAGTGCCATTCAAATTGCTCATAATTTTGTTTTTCATGAGTGGACTAAACATATTGAGATTAACTGCCACTTTGTGCGCCATCACTTACAGCTTCGTACCTTATCCTTGCCCTTTGTCTCCTCTACTATGCAGCTCATTGATTTCTTCACCAAGTCTCATACTATCACGTGCTTCCATTTTTTGCTTGACAAACTCTCGATGCTTCCTACTGTTACATCATGAGTTTGCGGTGGGGTGTTAAGCATATGTGTAATAATGGCAGTCTAGTCATTGGTAGAAATTAGGGTTAGCATAGGTGTCTTTTATATATATATATATATATTGTAATTCTTTTTCATTCAATTGAATAATACAGTACTTAGTTCCTAACTAAGTTTTCAGATTTTCAGCGATTTGGGGGAAATCAAGGTCAACGTTTGCTTTTTAAGAAACAGCAAGCTCAGGCGTGGAAGGGCCATGGCATGCAATGTATGGGGTTTGGCGCAGTGGGCCGAGGAAATAAGCAAATGGGTCATGGTGGGAAAAATAATAGGCCCGTGGGGAAAGGTGTTAGTTTGGGCTTAACTGTTCTGGGGCCAAAGCCCAATATGGCTAAATCATGCCCCTAGGGATGGGCTGGAGCTCTCAAATGTCTAGGTCCATTCCTCAACACATAGGTCCGGAGATGGATCTCCCAACGCAACGGATTTTCGAGTCCTTGTGCAACAATGTGGAGGAGCACGTGTCGAAGGCAGGGACGTTGGCCAAGACGTCGGTGAGAATGGAGCAAGGGTTGTCGCCGAGGGAATAGAATGGGTAGTCAGCGAGACATGGGCTTGGGTCTTCCGATAAGGCAGCAGACTCTTTCAAGGCTCTCGTAGTGTTGTTGTGGAAGGGTAGATGGCGACAATATCGAGTGTCGAGGCAAGGATATGTCGTCAACTGGATGACGAGTTGTGGGAAGAACAGGGAGTTGTTCTGTCATGGGGTGCCAGGGCTAAAGCAGAAATGGAGGAGGGCTGTGACAATTTGGCTCTGGTTTTGCAACCGTTGGCCGTGGATAGGGGCGACCAGGAGGGATTGATAGGCCCAACACCGATGCAAGTTGATGTTGCGGATCTTGTGCACACCAGGGGACACTCACAAGCAAAAACACAAGACTTTTAACGTGGTTCGGCAAATCGGATTGTTGCGGATCTTGGGCACACCAGGGGACACTCACAAGCAAAAACACAAGAGTTTTAACGTGGTTCGGCAAACCGGCCTACGTCCACTGGAGCGATGTTGTTATATATCAACAAATGGAGGAGATTACACACTCTCAACTCACTGTCTCTCTATATAACACACTCTCTCACACTCTCTGATACACAAACAGAATATAGCTCTCACTAGCTCTCTCTGTTTTGTGCCTCTCTCTCAGCAGTGTGTTTCTCTCTTGCTTGCTATGTTTGCCGTGTATTCAACTCACCATCACCATTCCATTTTATACACCAAAACAGAAGGTGGAGGAGGCCTCATGGGTGTGTTGGCTGCCAGCCCAATATTCTCCTTTGAGCTGCTGTCCAGTTGAAAGCTTTGTCCCACCATGTGAAGACTTCACATGGCCAACTCCATGCTTTCTCCTTTGCCTTCTTTTTACCATGTGGGTTGGCCACCATTCCATGTGGCTGCCAACTCAATTTGGGTTGATCTCCTACAAATCACCCCCTCAACCCATATGAGGTGATCCATAATAGCACCCCCTGCCTGGAGTGCCCGGCACCCCCTCACTGGGGTGCCATGCAAAGCTTACTTTGCAATTCTTTGAGATGGCATCTCTCCCTTCCATCCAGTCTTGGAGAGATCCCAATATGTCTCTAATTCAGGAGCAAAAGAAACTTTCTTCCCTGGGACATGCTTTGCTGTCTTGGTCTCTTTGCTCTGAGCTGTCTTTAAAATTGGCCGCAATGGCTCCGTCTTGTGCACCTCCGAACTGCCTCCATGCGTTCTTGTACACTTTGGTTGCCATGTCTACTGGGCCCTATGTCTCTTCTGTGCATGTCTTATACGTCTTGCCCGGTAAGTGACAGTAGCTCCGTCTGTCACAACCTTCTCCACAAGCCTGTACAGATTCCCCTCCAGTCGTCCATGTAGCATCACCGTATCTCCATGGATGACTTTGAGATTTCCTTTGCTAGATGTGACACTATAACCCTTCATGTCTAGCATACTTAAGGAAATTAGATTCTTCTTCAGTCTTGGCACGTGTCGGACTCCATCCAACGTGAAAATTTTTCCATCTTCCATTCTCAGCCGTACTGTTCCCATGCCAACAATCTTACTCACAGTGTTGTTAGCCACTCGAACAATACCTTCATCCTTGGCTTGGTAGGTAGAAAAAAGTTTCTTATCCATGCATATATGATATGTGCTTCCGAAATCTAAGATCCAGTCAGGTTTCGTCATACTCGACGAAACTGTAAATGCATACTCATCCTTAGCATTTACTGCAGCAGGGACATTTGATGAGCTCGCCTGTTCCTTGTGTGCCTTGTCCTCCTTGAGCTTTGCACAGTCTTTTATGAGGTGATCCTCCTGATCACAGTAATAACACTTTCTCCTGAAGCCTGACCTTGATTGCGAACGTCCTCTTGATTTGGATCTACCCCGTCTATCATTGGACCTACCTCTGCCTTGCTCATTTTCTGAGGCAACCATGGCATTTCCTTCTGGGTGTTTGCTACTGCTACCTTCCTGTTTCTTCATCGACTCATGAGAAATGAGCGTAGCAATCACCTCATCCAGTCCAAGAGCATCCTTCCCGTACAATAGAGTTGTCCTGAGATGCTCATATGATGCAGGTAGAGAGACCAGCAAGATCATAGCCCTATCTTCCTCCTGGGTCTTGTCTCCAATGGTGTCCAATTCCATTGTGATCCTATTGAACTCGTCCAGATGTTCTGTGAGGTTCGCACCTTCTGGCATTATAAGTGTATATAGCTACCTCTTCAGAGATAACCGGTTTGTCAAAGACTTTGACTTGTACCTCATCTCTAACTTTGCCCATAGCTCCGCCGGATCTACTTCACTGATGACTTCCCGGAGTGTGTTGTTCCCGAGATACAACTGAATTGTACTGTTTGCCAATTCCCTCAACTCCTCCCACTTGTCATCCTTCATGTCTTCCGGTTTGTTGGACTTTTTGAGAAGAGCCTTCACCAGACCTTCTCATGTTAAAATGTTTTTCACCCTTTGCTGCCACAGGGTAAAGTCATTACTGCCATTAAAAGGCTCAATCATGAAACTTGCACCTTTTCCTGCCATTGTAAATTTCTTTCCTTTTTAAAGAAATTCCGATTTAAGAATCTGACCGTACGGATGGGTCCGGAATATTCCAAATAGTTGGAACTCACTATTGAATCGCCAAAAACGGACTCCGAATGGCCTAGATCTAGCCAAAACAGTTTCAACGGTTCAGATCTGCTGAATCTGGTGCGCCTGAGAAGCACCAGATAATTCCTCCGGATCGGCTGGTCAACGGCGCAGTCAGCGGCTCGGTCAACGGCGCAGGGGCGCGGTCAACGGCGGCTCAGCGGCGCGGCTTGGCTGGCGGCGCGGCTCCGGCACGGCTCGGCCTGGTCAGCGGCGCGGTCAACGGCTCGACGGCTCGGCTCGGCTCAGGATGACGTCAGCCTGACGTCAGCTTCACGCGCGCCCCCACTCGTCTTCTTCCTTCGTCGGCGCGTGGGGCGCGTGGGTGCGAGTGGCCTTCACTCGCGATATTCAGGGGGCGCGTGGAGGCGCGTTAGACCTCCGATTGGCCTGTGGTTTGAAGTTTTGGACTCCTCTCCTCCTGACCTTCCTCCTGGTATGCTCAAAAGTGGATTTCAACCACTTCGAAATCTGGACACTTTCGGAAAAAACTCGATTTTTCTCCACCCGGGCTCTGATACCAATTGTTGCGGATCTTGGGCACACCAGGGGACACTCACAAGCAAAAACACAAGACTTTTAACGTGGTTCGGCAAACCGGCCTACGTCCACGGGAGCGATGTTGTTATATATCAACAAATGGAGGAGATTACACACTCTCAACTCACTGTCTCTCTATATAACACACTCACTCACACTCTCTGACAAACAGAAAATAGCTCTCACTAGCTCTCTCTAGCACACGAATTTCTAATCCCCTCACTATTTTTCTAATACCATCTCTACCTCCTCACTATGAATCCCCTCCCCAAGGGTATTAGTAATACCAAGGTATTAGTAGTACACTCCCTATCTCTCAAAACAAACAAGGTATTAGTAATACCAAGTATTAGTTACCATGTGAAGACTTCACATGGCCAACTCCATGCTTTCTCCTTTGTTGCTGGCGCATGGCAAGCCTCATGGCTGCCAACTCAAGCCTCATGACTTGCTAACTCATGCCAACCTCTTTTGCCTTCCTTTTACCATGTGGGTTGGCCACCCTTCCATGTGGCTGCCAACTCAATTTGGGTTGATCTCCTACAGTTGAGAGCAACAATGTCTTGGGTAGGAATGGGATACCTCTAGCTGAGGAGGTCTCAAATTGGATGCTAGAACGCATAGTTGAGGTAAGTCGGCTACTGGGGTTGTCATTCAAAGGCCACGAGGAGGAAGCTTTACGATTATTCTCAGCAATGGAGGCGTCGTGGCGAAGGAGATCTCCTAGTAAGGAAGTGGTTACAGTGGCGGATACCTGTCGCAACGGGAAACTAGAGCTAAGGAATTTAGAGTGCTCTATAAATTATGAACAGGGTGGAACAAGGGCAACACGTGATTCACATAGACGTCGAGGGGAGCGCTATTGTTGAAATGAAATTAAAAATTTTGACTTGGAATGTGCGAGGCTTGAATAATAGAGATAAGAGGTTAGCGGTAAAGGCAGTATTGCGTAGGGCAAGAGTTGATGTGGTTTGCTTACAGGAGACAAAAATGGAAGTGTTTGGGGCAGAGGTGGTACGGGAAATTTTGGGGGGCAGGTTTATGGAATGGCTACATTTGCCGGCAATGGGCACGACGGGTGGTGTATTGCTTTACTGAGACTCAAGGGTTGTTAGGAAGGAAGAGGAGTTTGGCTATTTTTCAGTGTCTTGTTTATTTTGGTGTGTGGAGGACCAATTTCGATGGGTGTTCACGGGGGTGTATGGTCCGGTATGACGTGTTGATCGAGGAGAGTTCCTGTCAGAGTTGGAGGCTGTGGCATTCCGTTGGTCTGAGCCTTGGTGTATGGGGGGTGACTTTAACATGATGAGATGGCCGAGCGAGAGGGTGGGGAGTTCTCGGGAGTCGAGCTCTATGTGAAGTTTCTGTTCTTTCATTGATGAATTGCATCTGATTGACTTATTGCTTCAAGGAGGAAGAGTCGCCTAGTCGAATGGCCGAAGTCTGTCTCGAATTGATCTATTTCTGATCTCGAAGTGACTGGAAGGAGCATTTTTTTGGAGGTGGCTCAGTTTTGGCACCAAGGATCCTCTAGAGTGAAATTTCCTTAAAGTTTTCTAGAGTGTTACATTGCCAATAAATCTCAACCACACATTGTAGCACTCTAAGAAACTTTAAGAAAAAATCACTCTAGAGGATCTTTGCTCCAGTTTTGGTTGGCCCACCCGGTATCTGATCACTAGCCTTTTTTTACTTGATAGTGGGGGGCTTCGCAGTCAGCTTACGCCTTTTCATTTTGGAATATGTGATTGCAAGCAAATGGTTTCTTAGAGATGGTGCGGGGATGGTGGTCTACTTATGCAGTTACAGGCTCGCCTAGTTATATGTTAGCACAGAGGCTAAAATTGCTTAAAAGGGATTTGAAAACCTGTAATAGAGAGGTGTTTGGTCGTTTAGAAGGTCAGAGAGAAGCAGTGGCGTCCTTATTATCTTTGTTGGATGACGTAAAGGCTGAAAGGGGCTCATCGCCAGAGGATTCGCCGCACTTCTGACACTTCCGTTGCCAGACACAGCACTGTCGGAGACCACCACACCAGATTCAGGTCACGCCCAGCAATAACCCACCGCCGTCGCAGCAAGGTCTCAACCTGTCGTCGTGTCGGCAGAACAAACAAAAAGTCTTGGCCCCCAATTGGTCAGTTTTCCACTTTCCCGAACTCCTTCCACCAACGACCGACCCATTCTGTCATGGCTAAAAAACCCAGCCCCTTGTCCCCTCTCAAACCCACTTTACCCACTATCGCCCAGTTCAGATATTGGAACCACCCTTCCTCCGCCACACCATTCACCACCTCAACTCCTCCAATTGGGCCGATTGTCCACTCAAGCTTTGGAACAGCCCTTTTCTCGATCATCACCCCCTTGTCCTCACCCCCCTTCGACCCCCCTTTCGGCCCTATAGCAAAACCTTCAATAACCAGTGTTCCCCCTCTCATCCATGCGCAAACTCCGACATAGGAAGGTAAATCTGAGTCCTTTTGCCTTCCAATGTCACCACGATCTGCACCGAAGAACCACCATTGTCCTCGCCGAGAAGCCAGGTTGCCACGCTTCGTCCCTTCCCTTCTAGCCAGCCTAAAAAAGAATAACGATCGGACATGCGGGACGCCGTCCTCAGTTTCCTGGCGGTCCATTGTACTTCAAACCCCGATAGCATGACCTCCCGCCGCAGCCCTTGCCCCCGCTCCACAATAGACAATTGGCGGTGGCCTCTGTGATCTGCAATTGCTTCTTCAAACTCAAAGGACCTACCTCCAAGGAAAAGGATTCGGTGACGTGGTCCCGTCGCCGCCTTCACCGGAATCATCCCAGGTAACTAATGCATCCCACTGGAAATTCTTAATAAGGAAAGTCTTAGAGAGAGTAGTAAATAAAAATATAAGAAGCCTTCACACAAGACATCAATAATGCTTAAGAGTCCAATTCTAACTCTGGTTGATTTCAATCACTTAATAGTTGATACGCTTATAATGGGTTGTGCATGCTCATTGTCAAGAGTAGTCCCATACCATTACTTTGCATCAATCGATTCGCAGCGTGAATGATTAGAACCATTAGGCCACCAAAGAGTTTGACCATCAAAATTGACCTATATTTTGTATTCTTTGGTATAGACACTTTTCACTAGGTTGGTTTGAGTATTCTCAGGAATCTGGGGCTTTGGCCTACAAAGGAGATCCCAATGGAAACATGTAAATTTTTTTTGGGGTGGGCCAATCCTCTTTCTCTAGTTACAAAAGAAGAAACAGCAGAAGGGTGAAGATATCACAGATTCATAATAGTACCATGAGTTGCAGAAAAGAACCTTCTAAAGTACCAAAATGTGGTAATTACTTTTCCACTTTTGATTTCTTAATTTAATAAAATTGCTATGGGAATGTGATATGTTCTTTATCATTGTTCAGTGAGATTTTATTTGCTCTCTATGATATGTTGGACCAACAGAGTTTTCAGTTTTTACACTTTCGAGGTTTTTCACCATCCTAATGTAGGCAGTTTTCTACATTCCTGACCTAGAATGAGATTTATTTGATTTTGGCAATATAAAACTGTGATTGCCAGAGCTAATTATATTATGATACTGCTGTAAAAATTCTTGTGGAACAGGGATTTGAACGAGCTTCAGATATTATTTTTGCAATGCCAGAAGATATTGAGAAAAGGGCTTACATATTCTGCTAGTCTGGCTCGAGCTTGGGCTGCCGATTGTTGTCTAATCAACTTTGTTTCTTCTTTTAATGATTGTGATTGGCAGAACAAATCAATAATGTGGATCAATTTTTAATGTTGAGCAGATTATCAAAGTCATCTAATTGTGGAGAAGCTACTGTCTTTTTAGTCCACCAAGAAGTTATGGTGAGCCGGATGAGCAATGTGGATGAATTGCTTACCCGTTCCCACTAGACTGATACATATAAGCTTATTCAAAAGCATGGACACATTTTATTTTTCATTTAAACCAATGAAATGCTGCTTGACCTGAATTGCATCATTATATTTCTTTTGCTCAGTATGGATTGGTACTCACTGATTGGAAACTAGCATTAGATCTTTGCAGGAACGAATCTTCAATGCAGGATAGCTTCCATTTGAAGTCACAAAGTAATGAATCATAGCTAGGGTTTCGATTCTGTCAAGCTCATACCCAGGACACATTCTGGAAGATGTTCTCCTCCATGTGAGTCATGCTTGCTGCCCATACCACCTGAGTATCAGAATTCTATGTCGGTACTAGCTATTTTCTTAATACTACATGCATTAATTTCGCTGATAGAGCTTCTTTGAAGGAAACATTAAACTATATTTGCACATACTTGCCATCGTTTTGGTATTAGGTGTCTTTCCTATTCTGCATCTTTGAGTTGAGAGCCTATTCTGTATCTTTGAGTTGAGAGCCCTCCTAAAGGTGCAGAACACAGGAGGGTCATCCTTAGAGTCTCCATTGCTACTCTCCATGTGTGCATTTGACAAGTGCATCCCACATGAGAAGCTCCCCGTAGAGCCTTGCTCTTTGCAATCTCTCTCTTGTTCTGCAATCTCAAATAACAAATTTTTTGTAAGCTTAATTTTTATAGTTTCCTATGCATTTTCTGTTCTTAAATCTGTCATGATTGCAGAGGCTGAGAGAGAGAAGCGAACAATATAGCTGAATTGTCTTTGTTGCAGATACTAAGGAAGCAATTGATGAGGTCTTGTTGAAGGGAAGCAGCATTTCTTTCCAATGCTAATTTCTTCTCATTTATAAGATTGACCTTTTTCTCGGAGCCTATGGTTGAAGGTGAGGGTTTTCAGCAATGGCATCGCCTATGTTGTTGACTATTAGTCTCATAATGTCAATGCGAGGAAGAAAATTTTACTATCTCTTGTTCCATGCATGTAGTCTTGATTTGCTCTTATAAAGATAGAACTATCTTCGTTACAATTTGGTTGAATAGTTACTAGATAAATCAACGGATTCAAGTCTGGATTTTTTGAAATTCATGCTAGTTTTCCCCTTACTCCCTCGTGATCTTGTCTGCTCAAATTCCATTTTATTCTTCTCACCCCAATTGTATATTTATTGTTTGCAGCCTCTTAGGATTGTACTTAATTCTTTCCTGCCGCGATGTTTTGCCCTTGTTCAAAGCCTTTTGGAAGATTTTTCGGCAACCAAGTTGGAGTCAAGCCTACAGCTCGCCTCATGTGGTTTTTTCGCTTTTGGACTTTGCCATGCTCGCGAGGGAAGTGGGGACGCTGCTGTGCAGCCCACGCAGCAGCATCTGTTGTGCGGCAATTTGGGCCTATTCATCCAAACCGTTCACATTTTAGAATACGTCAAGTAGAACATGTCTGCAAAAAATCAAGTTAATCGGATATCATTTACCTATTCATTCACTCACATTAGTATTCATTTTAATTAAGCTAAAATACATTTGTATTTATTTTTGTAGATACAAATGTGAGTGGATGAATGAGTAAACGATATCCGATTAACTTGATTTTTTGCAGGCATATTCAACTTGATGTATTCTAAAATATAAACGGTTTGGATCATCAAAATGAGTCTCGAAATGGGCTCAAATTGCCACACAGCATACGCTGCTGGGGGGCTGCGCAGCAGCGTCCCCATTGTGGCTAGGGGGATCCTGAATCTTGCCCTCGGATTGTGATGATCTTTTGTTGATTTGTGTCCTAGCCTTGTGTTGTCAATCTTATTCTATTAGTTGAGGTCTATTTCTAATTGCTCGTTCTTTGTTTGCCTCTTATAGTTAGAAGTTGCTCACCTCATGTGGTTTTTTCCCTTTTGGACTTGTATTGAGTTCTATATTTTTTTTGGTATTAAAATTCTTTGTGCTCATTGTCCATTCTATTCTTTGTATTGAATTGTGTTCTATTTTCCTTTTTGCGTAAATTACAGATACACCCCATGAGGATTGCTTAAAATATAGGAAGTCTCTTGTGGTTTGGAAAATTATGAATATCCTATTGGTAGAATTTTTTATTTAACAAATTAAATTGAAAAGATGAAACTTATAATTGTTCTCTTATACAATTATAAAATTATCTGAATTATTAATTGAAATAAATTTTTAACATCATTAAAAATTATTAATTGACTTAATAATTTATTAATAAAAAGAGCTATTTGTTATAAAATTTAAAATTTTAAAAGGTTGGATATAATTTTTAAAATTATCAAAGCAATTTGTATTTGAAGCAAATTTTAAGAGGGGTGTTTGTAATTTTTTTTTTTTTTTTGGAGGGGGGAGGGTCATAAAAATTGGCATGATTGCTAGTTCTGCAAAAATATATATATATATATATTTTTTTTTTTTCTACCAAAAATAAATTATATATTTGGTTGTTACCTTCAAAATAATGTGCCAATAATTGTGATAGTATTGGTGATGGTAGTTTTTGGGGGCATTTCCCTAAATAAGCTAAAATAGTAAATCAATTCCCAAACTAAGTCTAGTTTTCAAAGAATTCCCAAAATAAGCTAACTCGCGGTTCACAATCGCGATTTCAAACATATTCCGCCTGTTTCGCGTGAAAATTGGAAATGCTTAAATTCGTGGTTACGAAAAGCGATTTTGATTAAGAAATCGCGGTTCCAAATGCTGATTTTAATTAATTTTTTTTTCTTTTGAACTCGCTGTTACAAACCACGATTTCATCCAAAAAAAATTTGTTCTGAATTCGCTGTTTGTAACCACGCCTTTTAGGGAAAAAAAAATTGAAACTCGTGGTTTGTAACCAGGAGTTTAGAACTGTTACTCAACACATCACTCACACTCAATTATATATATATATATATATATTATTAATATATATTTATAATTTAATATATATATTATATATAAATTTTATTTCATAAAATTGAAACTAATATAAAATAATTATTTTTTTATTTTAATTCTTAATTTTTTTTTAATTTTACTTTCAGGGATATTATTTTTTTTTGATTTTTTGGGTTTAAGGTTTAATTCTTAAAATTTATATTTTTATTTTAGGGTTTGGATTTATAAAAAAATAAAAATAATTAAAATTTTAGGGTTTAGATTTAATTCTTAAAATTTATTTTTTTTAGGGCTCCTTAGAAGTTTACGTTCTTTGTTAAAATTTTTTATTTTAGGATTTAGGGTTTAGAATTTATAGTTTAATTCTTAAAATTTATTTTTTTTTATAAATCCTAAACCCTAAAATAAAAAAAAATAAATTTTAAGAATTAAACCTTAAACCCTAAAATAAAAAAATAAATTTTATCCCTAAACAATAAAATAAAAAAATTAAGAATTAAAATAAAAAAATAATTATTTTATATTAGTTTCAATTTTATGAAATAAAATATATATATATATATATATTAAATTATAAATATATATTAATATATATATATATTGAGTGTGAGTGATGTGTTGAGTAGCAGTTCTAAACTCGTGGTTACAAACCACGAGTTCACAAAAAAAAAATTTCCTAAAAGCGTGGTTACAAACAGCGAATTCAGAACAAATTTTTTTTTGGATGAAATCGTGGTTTGTAATAGCGAGTTCAAAAAAAAAAATTAATTAAAATCGCGTTTTGTAACCACGATATCTTAATCAAAATCGCTTTTCGTAACCACGAATTTAAGATTTCCCAACTTTCACGCGAAACAGACGGAATATGTTGAAATCGCGATTGTGAACCGCGAGTTAGCTTATTTTGGAAATTCTTTGAAAACTAGGCTTAATTTGAGAATTGATTTACTATTTTAGCTTGTTTAGGGAAATGCCCCTAGTTTTTGGTTGCTACCTTAGTTTGAAAATTATTTTTCACTTTTAAAATTATAAAAGGTTTGTTTTATCCAATTAAAGTTATTTTTCATTTATCATAAAAATATATAAGGAATTGTATTCACATTTCTTGACATTTGAAAAAATAATATAATTAATCCTATATTTTTAATATAAATATACTTTTTTTAAGTTTTAATTTACATAATATCTACTCACCATCTATATTAATTTCAATCAATTTAATCTTATTAAAAAAATATTAATATAATTATTTCAAAAGTATGAGTCAGACTATTTTTCTCAAACTAGAATAATAAGTGTAATTTACCCAAATATATAGATATTCTATTGTCTTTTATTTTTTATCATACTAAATAACTCTCGAAATAGAGTGACCCTTGAAATGAAATGAGAGTAAGAGAAATAATTTGAGCAAAAGCTAATGAATAATTAAACAAATCACTTGAGAGCAAAAAGTACAATCACAAAAGACAGCTTAAACTTCATTACTATTAGCTAGAAACAAATACGGTTACAAGGATCATGAAATCACAAATTCCCACAGAAACAAACATACATTGGGATCCCCCAAAAAAATTCAATTCAAAGGGAACTTTTTCTTGACTATAAAAATATACATTGTACCAAATATAGGGTTGGAACTTTGCTTTATCCATTTGTAATTAAATTTAGGAGCTCAACAGCTTCTCTTAATCTTCTCTCCAACTGCTCTCTTGCAAGCTGACCCTAGCATTCCTGGATGTAAGTGGCAGAAATAAGTTTAATTACACAATTATAAGCAAACAAAGTTAGGGATGCATTAGAAGTTTGATCAAAAGTAACTTTCAATTTGTTTCAACAGAAAACATTTTTCTATACAAAATATTTTTTGAAACTTACACTACTGTGCTAGTCCATGGTAGTAGTAGTGGTGTAGTGCTGGTGGAAGTGGTAGCGGTTGGTGAGACATTCGTCCAGAAGCATTTTTAGAAGTGATGCATTTTCAGTCCAAATAAATTTGTTTTCCGTTGACTCTTATGTTTTGCCGAAACAAACCAAACCAAACCAAACCAAACCAAACCAAGTCTCAAGTCCCATCAAATAGAGTCGGCTACATGAATTCTTCTTCTCCAAGCGGCCGTATCAAAGGCCATTTCATTAGTCCAATTAAGTAGATCCATATCTCTATTTACAACGCTAGCCAATGTTAATCCAGGCCTACCTCGTCCCCTAATGTTACAGCATCGCATCTTTTCACTACTGCCTCTGTTAGTCTCCGTTAAACATGACCAAATCATCTCAATCAATTCTCTCTCAACTTATCTTCTATCGATACTACTCCTACCCACTCCCGAATACACTCATTCATAATTCTGTCTTGTCTAGTCTTGCCACACATCTACCTTAGCATCCTCATCTGAGCCACACTCATCTTATCTACATGTTTCTTGGTTGCCCAACACTAAGTCTCATACAACATCGTTGATCTAATAGTTGTTCTATAGAACTTACCTTTTAGTCTAATGGGTATTCATTTATCGCACAGTATCCCAGACGTACTTCTCCACTTACATCATCCCGCTTTAATCCTATGGGTCACATCCGCATCAACCTCCTCCGTTGTTGTGATAATCGACCCTAAATAACGAAAATGTTCACTCTTAAGCAGTTCTTGGTTCAAAATCTTCACTTCTCCTATGCTTTCATTGTTACTGTTACTAAATTTACACTCCATGTACTCTGTCTTAGTTCTGCTTATTCGAAATCCTTTAGATTCAAGAGATGTTTTGCTGAAACAAATAGAGAAATATTCATAAATAGTTTAATTAAACAATTATAAGGAAACAAAGATAGACATGCATATAATTTATCAAGGTAACGCTCTATTTGTGTCAGCCAAAAATACTTTTTTACATAAACTAAAACAATTTTTTTTTTATGTTTAGTTGCAACTTTGAAACTAATATGCTAGTGGTGGGGCAATGGTGTGGGGGGTTGTGTGTGGTGGCATAAGTAACACTTCAATCTGAAAAACGGTTTTTATGTTTCAAAAGTGAAAAACATTTTCCAACCAAATAAGTTTATTTTCCACTAACCATGAAAAATGTTTTCCACTTCCTGTCATTTTTCATTGTACAAAAAACACTATTTTTTACTAAAACAAGCAAAAACAATATTCAGAATTTCTGTTACCAACATCTTACCTCTTTTCGTTGCCTGTCTTTCTTGTGAGATCCTCAACAAGATTGTGTAACCTCTTCAAGAGAGTTGGCGAGCTGCGTGCAGCTTCAACACCTTTCGTATTCAAAGATATCTTCCTCAAAAGCTCAGAAGCAATGAAATAACCCTCCTCTTTGTTTCTGAGAAAAAAGTACAAAACACAACAAATGAAAATCAAAAACACAAAAAACTTCTACACTCTCAGTAACTTCTCTGACAAACCTTAGCAACTCCCAAAGAATCGTTTCTACAGATCCACGACTATGAACCAGCACTTCAGTCAAATGTGAACATCGAGCAAGGTTTCTTAGAGTAGACAGTGCATGTTTTAGAACCTCTTGATCAGGTATACTTCGACTAACTGAGCGAATCAGCTTCAGTAACGTGTCAACTGCCCCGGCTTCCACAACTTTTTCACAACATTTTTGTGAATGTTTTGTGGCCATATCTGTAGAACAAGTTCAACATCATTGCTTCAACATTTCGCAAATTAAAATGTTTTTAAATACATGACAAATGACCTTCCTGTAATTGTTCTAATCACAGTGAATTTTGTTTTAGAAGTCATCATGAACATGATTAGCATCATCTTCAGAATTGTTTCGTTAAGTTACAATCCCAATAATGGTAGACATTGTAATTGTTAAGAGATCCACAATATGAGCTTTTTAGGGAATCCGAGAAGTGTTAATGAAGTATCATCAGAATAACTAAAATCATGAAATATCATTTTTTTAAATTAGAACACATTAAAGAAGTATTTGACACGATTCTATGAGTGTCCAATAAGTGTCTAATACAAACACGGCTCCTCCCTAGAAGTGTTTGTGATACTTAAGCATTGACCAACAAGGCACCATCACCATGTAAGAAAGAAAAAAAAAAAAAAATTTAAACATGACAAGCGGAAAGAGCTTACTCACAAATTAATAAAACTAATAATGAACAAGAATAAATGCATTAAAAAATTTAGAATTTTCAGAGTTTTGTAGACTTGGGTAAAAGTGTAAAAATAGCCCCTACCCTCATTACCCTGATACCCAGCTTTAAGAAAAACAATAGCATCCAGGTGCTAGAGGACTTCATCGTGCAATAACTAAAATGACATAACATTTTACCAAGAACTCAAAAGGAAATAATGAATGGTTCTAGTCTATGAAGCACGGATACTTCAAAAAGGGTAACGTATCCGTATCGGATACTTATCAGATACCGATACTCCTCGGATACTCGCGGATACGTATCGGATACTTCTTAAAAGTATCAGATACTTCTTAATTAATTTTTTATTAATTTTGAAGTATCGGATACTTAATTTTGAAGTATCGGATACTCGAAGTTACATATTACTTATAATATTTTGTTTAGTTCTTTGATAAGAGGAATATAGTAAGAGTTAAAGTAATAGAATTTGTCAAATTGATGTATCCTTGTTGTCTCTCTCACTTCTCTCTCGCTTTCTCACTCTCTCACGTTTCTTCTCTCTGCTCTCATTCTTTTTTTGGTGTTGCCATGTAAGGATGATGTTTAATTTGCATTTGCTTTTGCTTTTGCTTTTAGTTTTGGATATTTTATGAATGTTTGAGCACTTTTAGGTTAATAGGAATCCCTCTTTTTATTTATTAATTTACTTTAAGTTTTATTTTCATGCATATTACATTATTAAAATTATAATTTTCTTTTTTTTACGAATGTATCCCCGCTGTACCTGTACTGTATCATACTTTTTCAAATTTTGACATATCGCCATATCCACATCCCCATATCACCATATCCGTATCCGTGCTTCCTAGGCTATCATTGATGACTTCAAAAAGTATATTTGCTGAAATTTTTATTTAAGAATGGTTTTTTGGCTTTAGCTAAGGTCTGTGATATTCACTGATGAAGGGGAACAAGTTGAAGCTATTGACCTTGAAGACTCTTAATTTTATAGGAATTTTTCTTCTTTATCAAGTTATCTTTTGCTTTAGATTTTATTTTTATGCATACTGCATTACTAAAAATTGTTAAAATAATATTTTTTATGAACGTATCCCCGCCGTACCCGCATCCTAATTTTTCAAATTTTGTCGTATCGCCGTATCCGTATCCCGTATCCGTATCCGTGCTTCCTAGGTTCTAGTAGAGAGAGGAAGAGTAACTTAGCATATCTCAAGAATATAAAGATGGACAAAAAGAAATTGTGAGGATAAATCATGAGGGAATTAAATTGTAAGTCCTATTATCTAAGATAATGCAATATCAGCTCATTATTAAAATTATCGTAACTTCTCAAAATCTCCTCCAGTTAACATCAAATTTTCTAGTTTGTACATCTAATGAAAAACAACACACAAGGAAAATGGTTAGAACAACAAAAAATTCCGGCAATCTTTTCCTGGTGGCACTTTCTGATCTATTGAGTATGAAAAGTATTTGACACGATTCTATGAGTGTCCGATGACTTCTATAATAATGATATAAAATGCTCACCTAAAGTTGCACAGGTATGAAGAATGCCACTGACGCTTTTCATACTCAATAGATCAGAAAGTGCCACCAGGAGTCTGTTTATAATACGCATGCTATCATCCACATTTGTAGCAAACTTTTACAATCTCAAGCGTAAATCAAGTAGCTGCCCTCTTGAAGCTTTCCATGCAAGGTAACCTTTCCAGTATGACTACTGTATAAATTTAATGTATAAAGAGAAATGATTGTATTATTGATTGTTGTATGTTGTTATAAATTACAAATGGTGAGGGGCTCCTTATATAGGAGATGTAGTGGAGTAGGTGGTAGTAGGTGGTAGTAGGTGGTAGTGGTAGGTGTGTAGTAGGTGGTAGTAGGTGGTAGTAGGTAGTGGTAGGTGTAGTAGGTGGAGTAAGTGATGGTAGGTTTTAACAGCCCCCCGCAAACTCAAGGGGGATAGGAACTAACCAACTTGAGTTTGGAGAGAGTAACAAAACAAGAAAATAATCTGAAAAATAAAAAATGGATAGGAGACACTGTATGGTCGTGTCAGACCGTTGTAGAAGACTGTATGGTTATGGCAGACCGATGTAGAAGACAGTTTATGGGGTCATCTCAGCATGTGGTCAGTAGACTTTCCACTACTAGGAATCACAATGTTTTAACCTGTGATTAGTAGTCACTTTACTAGGAATAGGATCAATAGACTCTTTCATTACTAGGAATCATTATGTCTTGACATATGATCAATAGCCTTTCCACTACTAGCAGCCACCATGTCTTGACATCTGATCACTAATATGTTTACTACTAGGAACCATAATCTCATACTGTGCAGCTAGTGGTCTAACACTGTGATGCCTAGTATGCAATTCATTCTTTTTCCCTAGTTCAATCTCGAGTTTGTCACGTTAATGTGCCGAGTCTCTCTTGAAGTCTTACTAAATTATTCAAGTTAATGTCGTGCTCAAAAGTCGTTTCAAAATCTTGATTTTTGACTCATTGGTGTTAAATTTTCTTTTGTCCCGGAGGGTGTGAGGTTCGGTCCAAGGTGCATAGAATCGAAGAGGAAAATTCTGGGCTAGGAACCAAGGGCCGCACGTGCGGGGCCTTGGGCTGCACGTGCAGGAGAGGAACCGCACGTGCGAGGAGTGAGGTCGCATGTGCGGATTTCAAGGGAGAGCTGGGGCTGCACACTGCCTAAAAGGCAGGTGCGAAAGGTGGTGCGGGAGGGGAGCCCCGCACGTGCGGGGGTGAGGGCCGTACGTGCAGGAGAGGCGCACCGCACGTACGGTCGGTCTGGACCCGAAAATCTGTGTTTTTGTAACTTTTTAGCCGAGTTGTGTCTCATTTTGGGGCTTCCTTCTCTTACTCTATAGGTCATTTTCTCTCCTCCTTCTCTCTAGAAACCCTAACCAAAGCACTAAAAACTCTCAAACCTTGCTATCCATTTGGGCTTAGATCATCATCCTCCTTCTCCAATCTTCAAGATCAAGCTAGAGTTTCACTTGGGTGGTAGAGGTTGAAGAATCCTCCATTGAAGCTAGGGTTTCACCTTCTTTTTTTTTCCATCAAACCTTAAGGTAGGGAATTCTTGAGTCATATATACATGTTTTGCTTCATATATGTTGATTTTAAAGCTTCCATGAGGTTGTTGTGTTGATTTTAATCTTGCACTAAATGAAGAGAGAGAAAAGGGTTTTTCAAAGAGGGGGTTTTAAATCTCAACTCCTTTTTATCTATAAGAATGTTCTTTATGCTAAATTTAACAAAATATAGTTTTGATTGGGTTTCACCATGAAATGGGAGGATTATTGGGTTTTGATGAAAACCCTAGAAATTGGGGGGGGGGGTTTTAGAAAACATGAGAACAATTATGAGATTCTTCTTTTCTTGTGTCTAATTGAGTCAATTAGTATGGATTTTCTCAATGTGGTATAAAGAAATGACAATTTTCTTGACAAGAGAAGGGTGGACCTATATTTAAATTATTGTTGAATGCATGGAAACATTTATGTGTAAAATGTTAAGTGTTGTGCATTATGAAATTGTGAAAACTATAAACATGGAGAGTTAATGTTTGAAAACATTATATGAAATCTTGATGAAACTCTATTGCTAAGAATTGTGAAAAGTGAAATTGTGGCTAAGTGTAAATAACATATGGTTATCTTGAGGAAGAACATTGAGAAGAGGTATGGGAAATGTTGTGAAGTATGGAAAATCCTTGAATTGCAAATTTGCTCATGTTATTATCATTGTGCATTGTGAAATTTGAATGAAAACATTTACTTCAAGAAAAGCACATATTTATCGGAATGAGAACTATGGTAATATGAATGAGGTAAATACGTGGTAAGTCCAGATAGGGGGTGTAGTTGAATTTGATAAATTGGCCTGTCCTTGGTGAAAGACTAGAAACCTGCGCGGATAGGTGTCGAGCCTTCTGGTTAATACCGGTAAAAATGACAGTTTGGTAGTACTTGTAGAGTCTACTTGCAAACACCAGCCTAGGGATTACCAGTGTCGTATTTACCGCCCCTATTGATAAAAATTGGAAGTTTTGAAATAAGTTGAGATTACGAATTTTATTTAAAGATGATGATCTTCTAAAGAGCATGTAATGGATTTGCTTTAAAAAGTGCTTGGCATGTTATTGACGTTTGCAATTTTATTGGAATGGCATAACTGTATATAGTTTGTGAGAATTTTCTACTGGGCTTTATGCTCACCCTTATGGGATTTGGTGCAGGTAAAGATGTGGTGATCCCGCCGAACTAAGGGCGTGGATATTTTTGTGAAAGAGTAAATGGCTCTTCTATTTTTTTTTTTTTTTTTGTTATAAAGTTTGTAAAGCCAAGGGCTAAGGTGTATCGGTCCGAGAGACCATTTTGGTGTAACCAGCCTATTGCCTTGGAACTTGTAAGACCTTATGGGCATTTTATTGACTTGAGAATAGATGCTTCACATGCTATAGATTCAGGTGTTCTTTTACCGTTGAATGTATATTCGCATGTGAAACTTTTGTATAAACTCATTTATCATGTAATAGATGGAATGTTTATTGTCTTGGTTTAGTGAATGTTAATTTATATGAATAGTTCATGCCGAATTATTTCGGGGCGTTATAACTTGGTATCAGAGCTACCAGGTTTGAATACTTGGGGCTCGCGGGAAGTGGTTGTCATACCACAGTGGGTTCATTTCGCATGATTAGGAAATATTTTGCTTATTTGTAATTATGTGATCGCATGCTTATGTGACTATGTGGGTATGGGATTAGACTTTTGGAATGTTATTTGCGCCTATTAGATTCCTTGAGGTCTTATTAGAAGGATACTTGATCAATACTCATTCTATTAAGAATTCTTGGTTTCTCATGGGACACATCTCATCACTAAAGGCTAATTCGTATGTGTTTATGTGACTAAGTGCTTATATGGAGTGAATTAAAATTATTTGTGTGATGGAATATGCATGATTGTTGTAGTTTAACATATGAGGTAAGTTGCGAGCACATTTGGAATTATGTGCTAAGTTTGTTTATTTTGTTTCTCAATTAGGATGTCTGAAAGGATCCGAACACGAGGTGGTAGGGATGGAAGGCGTCGTAGGGGATGCCGGGGTGTACATGGAGTACCAGTCCATGAGGCACCGGTGCAAGAAGAAGGTGTAGGCCAAGCTTATATGGCCGAACAAGTAGGGCAAGCGGAGGTGCCGGGGGAAGTTGGCCAAGCCGCAATGGGGGCTCTTGCCCGGGAAATGGCGGGGGCATTGAGGGAGTCCGTGAATATCCTTAAGGCTGAAACCCAAGCTAGGGAGAACGCCGTAGAGACAAGGGTGAGCTTCCTTGCGAGGGAGTTCCTACGGGCCAAGCCGGATGAGTTCCATGGTGGCCCCGATCCGAAGAAGGCAGACGAATGGCTAGAACAAATGGTGAAGCTTTATGCTAAATTTAACAAAATATAGTTTTGATTGGGTTTCACCATGAAATGGGAGGATTATTGGGTTTTGATGAAAACCCTAGAAACTGGGGGGGTTTTAGAAAACATGAGAACAATTATGAGATTCTTGGAAGAGCGCCGTTACATTGAGTTTGAGCAGAGGTTGAGAATGAAGATTTTGTTTAAGGTTGCCGGGAACATGATCCGAGATTATGATTGCCATGTGGAGGCAGCCGCACATGTGGAGATTATTGTAGAGGCCGAGGAGGAGAGACTTCGAAATTCGAGGTCTAGGGGCCAAGGGTCACGGGGGGGACTTTAGGCCCAACAAGAAGAGTAAGAGCACCTTTTCATCCCAGTCTTAGTCACAACAGTCTAGATCTACTTTCCCTTTGCCTAGTGCGAGCCCGAGAAAGAGTGCACCGAGTGGGTTTTCTTGTTTCAAGTGTGACCAACCGGGTCACAAGGCCTTTGCTTGTCCATAGAAGGGAGGGGACAATAGTCGTTGCCATCACCACCACTTAACCGATCTCAGAGTCAGTCTCAGAGTAGGGGTCAGGGGCCTACTTGCTTCCAGTGCGGGCAGTCAGGGCATCTGAAGAGAGCTTGCCCTCAGTTGGGAGGCACGTCTGGCGCTTCAGGGTCTAGGCAGACATAGAGCCACCAGCAGGCTCACTCAGCTCAGGTTTCACGAGTTCATCAGGGAGCCGCTTCGGCTTAGTCAGTATAGCAGGCCTATGCTCTGAGGGATGAGCAGGTTGAGTAGAGGCCATAGGGGCGCGTGTATGCAGTTACCGCGCCAGAGCAGTTGCCAGGATCCTCAGTAGTGAGAGGTATTTTTATTGTGTGTAATTCTTTGGCCGGTGTGTTGATAAATACGGGTACATCTCATTCATTCATATCTGCTGCATTCGCATCTGCATTGGGGTTAAAGATGGCACAGTTAGCGTCTCCACTCAGAGTTGAGTCGCCAATTGGGGGTACAGTTAACTTAGATCGGGGATGTCGTGATTGTGAGATAGAGGTTGCCGGGTGTAGACTCCCGTTTGCTTTTGTGTTGCTAGACATGTCGAGTTTTGACATCATTCTAGGCATGGATTGGTTGTCTTCGTATCGGGCAGTAATTGATTATTTTCGGTGAAAGGTCATAGTGTTCACCTCGAGTGGGGACTGTTTTTATTTTCTGGGAGACCGGGTTGATAGAGTTTTGTCACCAGTTTTTGATCCTCGTAGTAGGAATAAGCTTAGTGGTCTGTTTGCTACTC